GGTTTTATATGATGGTTCACCACTAATGCCCACGCCCAATGTACTGTGGAACCTGACAGACCAGCTGGGGTGAGTTAGCCACACACACAGTAACAAGAGAGGCTGACAAAAGGGAGAAACAAGGACTGAATTGTTTTGCTGATGATTTTTATTTTAAACCCAAAATTAAAATTTCCCTTTGAAAACATACTCCTGTTATGAAAGGTTTCTCTCAGCATTTTTATTAATATATAGGTGACAATAATCGGCTATGCTATCTGGGAAACATGAAAGCACACAGTCCACAGTACGTCACTGCTATTACACCTGCTGTCAATCTTAAGTGGTCTGGATCCTCCATAAGGTTGCAAGATGATTCATTGGCAAAAGAATCTCTTGCATTGTTGCAATTGGCCAACAGAAATAGCTTCAGCTATCGTCATGTTTTTGTGTTAAGGCTTCTTCAGAGATGCACATTTTTGCCCTGATGTTTTTTGAAGATTAAATTCATCTCAGAAGGCAGAAATACCAATTTACTCTACAGATTTTTTGTTAATACATGTTGCATTTTCAACACAAATGGTGCATAATATTTTGGGGAATGAAGAGCAGAGACAGAGTGCAGAACAAAAACCAGACAAAGAAAGAAAAAAGGAGTTGGATATACAGAGTAAGAAAGAGAGCGTAAGCTATAGGTATGGCTTTCCTTAGAGATTTTGTTTATAACCACAGAATTGATAATGTGTTTACCTAATTGACAACTTACACACACACACCACAACACACACACCCACACAATCAAAGGCATGAATAAAGATTTCTGCTGGTTATAATGTGTATCGAGAACAGAGACCCTCTGCAACTGATTATACAATAAACATTTATTATTTACTTACTCGTTTATGAATCCTTATTTAAAGAAGTGGAAAGAAGGGAATAGGGGGTAAAAGGGATGGCTTTGGCAGAAAGGAGACAAAAAGAAAAACACAAAGGAATGAATTTTGCTTCATTTTTTTACTGCATATATAAGCAAACAATTTTTTGTCTATAGCTAAAAAAGGACAATGGAAGCTATACAAGAGTTTTATTGTATGTTGGAAATGTATTAAGATCTGGAGAAAACATCATTGTAGTTGACGGCTCTCATAACTTTATAACAGATCGGTCTCAAAGACCCCCCAAACTCCTATATTGATTACCACAAATGAGCTGCTTTGCTGTTGTCTTGTGCGCTGATGAGTTGTACTGAGCTGAACAGGCTACTTTTAAGCCAGCAGGGTCAGCCAACCCTCAAGTCTGTTGTTATTGAGATTGATGGTGCTGTTGTATATTTGGATGAACCCAAAAAAGCCAGGACAGCTGAAACCTTTAGTTTACTGTCTAGTCCAGAGACTGTTCTGACATATGAAGATGAGCGATCTGATTCCATTAACGTAGGTTCACATCCAAAGTCACAGAGAGGATATTTGCAGCAGATCTTCTTGGTAAATGTACTGATACCCTCTCCCATCACCACCACTTCGCTGTCACCATCATAAACAGCAGATGCTAAACCGGGTATTGATCTTGTATTGTCTTGTGAAGGCAGCAGGGAGAAAGAGGAAATGGTCAAGGATAATAGCGTGTGGGTGTATGTGTGCAGGCAGGCAAGCATTTAATTGGTTCACATTTAACAAGGAAGATGGTGAGGGTATATATATTCCCTGTTTTAGTCCCTGTTTTCCATTGTTTACTTCTGTGTACCTCTGAAAAGGGTATGCCAGTGTGTGAGCTCTGCTTTGAGAAAGTCAAATTGTTTTCTTTTATTATTTATTTAAAATTAAGCCACTGTGTCATATTCTATTTAGCCTCAATAATTTCACTAATTTGAGGCTATGTTTCCAAAACATTTCACACAAAATATACACCTAACTTATTTATCATATACACATTTCATTGCAAAAACACAGAATGGAGAAGACACATCTGACTGTGTTCAGACAGAACACAAGAGGAATTTTAGAAGTCTTCAAGCACACAAAGTCAATGGAAAGATGTAATTGGGTGCTATTAAACAGTGCAATATTGATGTAGGGATGTGTCCACATGAGTTGAACATGTTTCAATCAATAACAGTTATCTAAGCAATATTATATAACAGATTTATCCATTTATTGTATATTGTTCATAAATATTTTAAAACATCACTGTAACAAAACAAATTTGTGTCATCTGCAAACAAATTTGACTTTTTACAAATATCATTTAATTAAAGGGGTGGAGAAACCTCCATGAGGAATTCTCTCACCCCTAAACCTGATGTGGCCTTGAGCAACCTTACTACTGGAGCCGACAGTTGGAGATTGTGTCATATGAGACAGCTCCTGGGGGGTGAGTTACTGAGTACTCTCAGTCAACCTGTGGTTAAATTATGAAAAGAATTACACTGTGGTCAGCAAAAGTAAGACCCTCTAAGGCAATGATACCACAGACACGTTGTCAGTGCAGCAGCGATGGCATATTGCCTTCAGCGAGGAAGGGAGTAATGGGGAGAAAGATTTGACACCTATGGGGAGTAGTTTGAAGCTATAGAGCCAATTTGCCAAGAAAAAGTACTTCTGCTGCAGAGACTAAAAAGATCTTTTCGTAGATACCAAAGCTAATGAACTCCTTTTACTAGTCATTAGAATTATCAGATATATTAGGATCTTGAAATGATGAGTGTTTCCCTGGTAAAATATCTGGTGGATTTTCTCAAGCTGTATGTTTGGTTAACATCTACAGTATTGTTTGATTTGTAGCGGCTTCTTGATGAGATGAATGTTCTTGTCTTTAACCACGCTGCTTGTTTGCCCAAAAAGAGTTTAAATGATGAATGGAGAAATAAAATGAACAAGGTTAGAATACTGTTTTTATTACCCACATAAAAGAGTTCAGTGGAGGGCAGCCAGTATGACAGAAAGACGGATAGAACCTTTTAAACTGTGAGAAGGTTTTTGAACCAATTAAATGCTGATGTTGCCACCTCAGACACATTTTCCAGACCCCAGCGCCATGTGGAAAACCCTCTGGGAGAGGCTGACATGAAATATTTTACACCCTCATCTTCTGAATGGAGGTTGGACATTTTAATTGGGGCTAAATCTGTCAGAGCCTTGGAGAGTCTTAAACTTACACTGAGGCTTTCCTCGTTGCCTTGAATTTTGTTTGTTAGTTAGAGAATTCTAGTAACTGCTTTGATGTTGACTTGCTCTGTTACATTTGTTTTGAATTGTTGACATTTATAGTAGAATCAAAGACATTTATATAAGAAGTACCTTTTATTATTGTTCTGTTTAATTAACGGAATGAGCCTAAACCCTTCTCAGAAGAAAATCAGTTCCAAAGTATATCTAATTAAAGTGTCATACTTCATGGTTTTATCAGTAACACAGATGTCACTGTCACTAAATATAGTATAGACAGAAGCTGTGATACATGCATCCTAACCTCTAAGTGCTCTGACAACTTTCCCTGCCTGCGTCATTTAAGAAAGAGACATTTATTGAGACGCCCTACCAGGGCTGTAGTGGAAATGACAACGACCGCATTCCTGGACAAAGCAGCCAAAAGGTTTACTTACTAACATTAACTCGCGAAAGGTTCCATGTACTCCACAGGACTCCTCTCAAACTTTTGTCTGTTACTTGTTGAGCTGATATGTCAGAAAAGATTCCTCCTATATTTTGTACCAACTATGGTAATGTTCTCTTTTGCCAGTGCGAAGCAAAATTCTCAGTTATCCTCTTTGGAGGAAATAGCTACAGATACAGTTTAGCAGATTGCATCTTGCCAGCTCAGTTACAGTTTTAGACACGTGGGCATAACAATTTAAAATATCCTCTTCTCTTCAAGCTGTGTCTAAATGTTATAAACTGTAAACTCTATAAAGACTCAAGTCTTTATCAAATCCTTCACAAAGGTTTTTTATTCACAAACTAAACAACACACATACATACACTACTGTTTTAAAAAAATAGTAAAAAAAATGTCAAATTCATTTTGAGACATGTTGGCTTCTACTATTCCTTTTTGAATGTCTGCCACCGGGTTAGATTGTAGCACAAAAGGATACTGCTTTATGGCACAAAATAGAAAGAGCTTCACAATAGTGGATGACAGAAAGAGTGGAGTGCTGATGGAAAAAATCTTTTTTAACGTGTCTGTCTTTTCAGTAATGCATGAGGGATAACAATTGCATTCCAGGGAGCTGAGTATTAGAATCCTGTGTGTGAGAGGAAGCAACAGGGTTCATAGGAAATTAATTTAATTTTAGAAACAATGGCACTAAAAATACCGTTCGCATGATATGGAGGGTGTCTGTCATACTGAACAATTCCTCTTGTATACAAGGCAATAACTCCAGGGTACCCTAAAAAAAATATTTATAGTATTTATAGACTTTCAAAAATGATGTAGTGCTTCACGCTTAATATTTGAAAATCGGTTAACGATTACACCATCAAACTGTGCTTTCAAACTGTTCCTTGTAGCTGCTGACACCAGAGAAGAGAGAAATGGTCCATTTTATATTACAATTCTTCCTGGGGTGGAGGACAAGTGCGAGAGTAGTTTAGAAAACATGCACTGACAAGTGATACTTCAATTGCTGCATGCATAGAGACACATTAACGTAATAACTACTCTGAGGAGCTCTTCTGTCTGATTGGCTTCAAGTGTCTCTTATTGGCTCTGTAGCTTCCAGTAACATGTCTCCCTTGAAACAGACACATAGGTACATTTACACACGCAGGCACACAAATAGAGACTCACAGCTTCTCCTGCACCCTCCATCCTAAACACCCAATTAGCAGCCACACCTGGCCACCTGCGTCCAATCAGAACAGAGTGACCCTTTCCATGCTGGCCAGCAACGACCAAATCCAGATGTGGATGGGGGGTCAGAGATGATGGATAGAAAGGAGAGTGAGTGCAGATGACAAATGGGGTCTTTGTGTTTGAATCTGTGTGTGTCATGTGCTGTATCTGGTGGCTATAAGTGAATGT